ACAATCGATAAGTTTATTTGTAGCGGAGCTGATCCCCAAAGAGCGAGGAGCGGATGAGGAAATACCCGCCTGTGCCAACCGAATGAATCTTAGAAGGAGTCATCGGATAAAGAATTTACATCCGAAAGCTCATACTTAGGGAGAGGACGGTGGCTCTGATGCAGAAGCACGCGGAAATTTAAAATCACTCTACGAATCCTCATCCCTGTACACAGCGGAAGTGACATTAAAAATGGGTAGCTTATACAGAATCCATTCTCTCGATCGAAGGCTTCGACGGACAGACCTGTAAATGGACACAAGAGATGAAAAGACATGATCGAAAACAACTGTTAACCAAAAACGACCTAAAATGGCGTTAAATCTTTGTGCGCTTCTGCTGTGCAAACAGTCTATCCGCAATGAGCACGGCTCATCTGCACTTTTTTGTCCACATGTACATCGGGGAAGCTCAACAGATCAACAAATTAAGCAACAACGATCAGTGACAGGTCTGATTGTGGTTTCTGAACAGACACTTAAGATTACGCTGAATACTCAGGTTAAATATAGGCAAAGCTGAAAAGTTCAGCACGTAGTTGCTTGCAAGCCACGAGTGAGGATCCAAATATGACTACCATCTGGTCAATTCATCAGGCGAACTTCGACCATTCGCGAGGATGAAGATTACGTATTGCCCGAAATATGAACTATTCAGATGTAAATCTCGACCCTGCGAAGAAAGCATTATTACTATTAAGTAATGAGGGAATAATATGAGTACAACGTAAATTCACTTTCTGCAGATTCTGGCCATATTTAATAATCGTATTTCAGGATGGAAAACTCCCACTATGTCAGACGTTACAAAAGCGAGTGCGCAGCTAGAAGCTCACAGGGTTGTTAAAGAAGACGAGATTTAATAGGAAATATGAAACTCAAACCGAGGAAGTACTGCCTCGAATAAACACGCTCGAAAGGCTGCGTGGAATTTCGTAAGGCATCGAAGCAATGTCATTTTGAGGGGGGTGGGGGGTCATCCCACGGTAAAGGAAAGAAGAAACTGCAGAAACAAGACGTACAAGCAAGGTAAATTATAAGTCTATGTAGGTGCAAAGGATTAAATGTGCGTGTATGTGTGTGATCATCACCTTGAGCCGTGTGCGTAAGTAGAACGTCTCTGGTTTGTGATCTCTCTTGCATTCGCAGCAAATCAACACGTTTGCCATAGCGCACCGAATACAGCTTCGCAGACGAAAATATACCCCGCGGAAAGCAGATCTTCCTCAACCCTGATCCTCCATGTTGCATGCGGGCCTCCTAGTCGACATCTGCCACGAGAAGCTCACCGGATGGAGTAAAAGGTTCATACTGGACCAGCATGTCCAACAGGGTCAACACGCTTTAATCTACTTACGCATCTACTGAGATCGCATATGCTCAGAATAGAACAGACACATTTTGCAATTTAATTCTCATTACGCGTCGAAGCCAACGTTATTGTACACAGTTCAACCGTCGTTCTTGGTCCATCATTAGAATAACAGTTTGCACGTTATACAACAAAACTGACCTGATCGACGCTAGGAACAGGTGAATGCGTTTGAAAAGGGCATTTCTACATCTTTCTCAGCTTGAATATTGGCAGGTATCGAAAAGCAATGGAGGAGAGGAAGAACCTCCTATTTAACTTTGATTTGATGGCCCCTCGCTCGAGATGACTACGCTGAGACACTCAAATTGGTCGACATCCTCTACTGCTTCCTCTGGTGTTCTACTAGTGGATCAACCATGTCACATGCGTTCTTTATAAGCTTGCACTTCGGGCGCAAAGTAGAGGTCGCTTTCGTAGCTGTGGTGCATAGGGAAGCCGTGATCGGAATGAAGATTCTAAATGAGTATTCTACACTGCGGCATGGCGCAATTCCGCGGTCAAAAAGAATGTCAGAAGTATACGAAGGGGGTTAATGCGCATTTCACAGGCCTCAAAAATGCTTACTAAAGGGCACCAATCTAAGTAGCAGATGAAGAACATTTCGAGAATGCGAGCAAGATGGTCAGCTACTAGAGTCATAAAATCTTGACGGTATGACGGCCAGACCTAGACGCTGTGTCGGCAACTTAGATTTAGATTTCTGCAACAAACATGGCACCCTGGGAGGTAGCATCGTAACAGATATCAATACTGCACCATAGGTTCAAAGAATGAGTGATACCAAAAACGACATTCATTGTGGATGTGTAACAGCGACAGACAATTCAACGGTTACAACCCTCCGTTTCTTCTCTTGTTCTGAAACAGGCTGAACAACACTAATTCGTCAACTTAAATATCACTCTTTTTTGGACAAGTATAAAGCAGATAACCTGTAAATTTCGGTCGTACTTCTGTAACAGCGAAGGCCTACTCCTGAAACTCACGGTGAAGTGCTGATAGCCGCATTGCCGTCGATCAAGACTACTTTATCTTCTAAAGTGATACAATGAAATAGCAGAAATCCCACCTAAGTGTAAAGGCCGTGGATTCCGAGTGATGACCAAAGCAAGTATATACACCCAGACAAAAACAAAGGGAAGACGAAGAGAGAACGGCTAACCGTTAACTGAAAATCATGAGTTCCGTTTCATTTCTCGGAATGTGAATTCGGGACATGCGACAAACAGCTTGAACAATATGGCGCGCAATCATTAAAAATATACTCGCAAACTGTGATTGGTTCCTCCAATAACTGAACCTCTGTGCTAAAACCTGATTATGTATTTCCTGTAGAATCAACATGTACCCTTTATGAATTCCCTAATCTTCCAATGCTTTAAAAACTGCATCATATTCCACCACGTCAGCTGGCTTTTCGGCAGTCTTGGACGCTGAATACGCACTGAGAGTTTATTCTCACGACAGTTTTCGAGCAGTTAATTCAGTGCATGGCTTATAATCGGGGTTCGAGTAATTTTCACGAAAAGCAGATTTTGTCAATCGACCGTTCATGATGCGCAATCCGTAACTTAAGCGAATTAACAGAAGTGCTCGAATTAATGAAACGCACCATCGAAATCATCTGATGCTCCTTACAGTAACCGATTCAATTATAATTTTTAACTTGTTTTGAAAAACTGCCGAGTAACCAATAATCGGGACCGAGCTTCGGCTACATTTGGTAGCTGTTTTTAGTCGGCGAGGGCATGATCTGTGAATCGCAACGATTCTTGAATCACGTCCAGCTGTTTCAAATGCGTGGGTCATCCTGTGCTGCGACAAGCAAAACTACTGGAATGAGACTTAATCTTAATTTTTACGAAACGCTGCTCGTCGTGAACGAAATCACGCAAAGAAAAAAAATTATTTTGAAACCTCCGTTGCATCTGATCTTATCCTTGAAGGCCCACAAATACAAACACAGACTACATACCGTTAATCTTGTCCGCAAAAGAACTTTAGACGCGCACGCAACAACTACGTCAAGAGGCAACGCCAAACAGTTGATCAATTTCGTCGTTAACCTGAAACAAAGATGTTTACGGTGATCCATTTGCCTCCGTAACGAGAAAACCACTTGAGCGTACAGCTCAATATAGATTTTCAGCCAGCTGAGAGACATGACCACTTGAAGGAACGTCTTCTGTCTGCAGATGATGAGCTCTATCAAGCGCAGTGCTTCGCTGATCGTAACGCAGGTCGGTATCTGCTGCTGACGCAGCACGTAGTAGATGAAGTTCAGCGTACGTAACCGATCGACTTCATCACTAAACAAACGGTGACCGTTGTAGAGCAAAATATTTCGCATCGCAAAAGACACCACACTAACCTGAGCGTATCACATTTCACGCATGAGTTAGAATTTTCTGGTATGACGACAACGAGTGGAAACCGCCGTGCTTCAAAATGTCATCACTGTACAGGGAACGCTCAGCAAAAGCAACGTATTCAAAACAAACTTATGCATATTAACTCTAGCACAGGTATAACCTTGTAAACGTACGGTCACTTTTTCGCGTGCGTGTCTACGTACCTGTTATTGCCTCGAATTAATGTATTACAAATTCCGGTACCAGGTCGAAACATACTGCAGCATTTACACACACAGAACTATGTGCACAAACTGCGTAAAATCTGCTTGCATAATCCGTTGCAATGCCGATTAAGTTCGTACTCTCTGTCTCGAAAATCTGTAAATTCCAAACAGAGCTTCGTTCTCAACCATCCTCGAAAGACAACTAATTATGATTCACCTGCGATAACGCACTTTCGTCACCACCCGGTAAACAACAAACATGATCTATGATTATCAGTTGTTCGTTCATAAAATGTCATAATCATTTACGATTTTGCTTTAGACAAGTCTAACGTCACTAGACTTCACAAGCAGTAAAACTATGAACCTCATTCATCTCTAATGAGGGCGCTATCGGATGCAAGTGTGGAAATTACAGCATGATATTCCTTCGTAAGAACACTGACTGGTGTGACGAAGCCGACGAACTTTGAAACATGATAAGCTAAGACCAGTCCACAATCGTTGTGAACTGTTCCTTCCTCAGATCGAGAGATCATTACTGTGGTGGCATGTACATGTAACGAATACTGCAGAGGAAGGGTGCTGAGAAATGTAGTCTAACACGAGTTATCGAAATACATTCAGTCATCCTCATATATAAAACTTACGGCAGTCTTGAAATGGCATCGTATAAACCAATCACTTTTAAAAATTTCGTCTCAGGTCATTCATAAAGTAGGTTTCAAACTCTCGACGCTATAATTAGACCATTTGAAGCTATCTTTGAAATAAGTTTTACACATGCATGCTAGTAAGCCCGTAAGATCAGGTTTTATTTTTATGTATAAATATGCCTACGGATCGTGGCACATTTGCAGATGTCCGAACAGGCCTTTGTTTGGTCCTGCCTAGTGATGCGGTTCTGCATCCATGCACTGCAGGAGCTCAAATACAATGGAGCCGTGGCCTGGTTAAATGTTCCCCTAGGCAACTAGAAGCAAGGGGACGGTGCCATTACGCCGTTTCAATCCGGTATCTAAAGAGAAAAGGATTATTTATCTTGGCGGCGGTATCGATAACTATAGTATGCTAGTAAACCCAAAAGATCAGGTTTTACTTTTTATTATGTATAAATATGCCTACAGATGGTGGCATATATCCGGGTGTCCGAACAGGCCTTTGTTTGGTCCTGCCTAGTGATGGTTTTCTGCATCCAGGCACCGCAGGTACTCAAATGCCATGGAGCCATGGCCCGCTTAAATAGTCCCCTAGGCGACTAGAAGCAAGGGAACGGTATTTACACCGCTTCGATCAGGTATCAAAGGAGAAAAGGATCAAAAATGTTTTACACAGCGCATTTTTCCATTTTTCAACATGAAGTACCTTACTTCATAAAGGAGGATTTTAAGGTGGAGTACATATTATATCGAAACCTAAGAAGCTTACTCTATAAACAAGGGAAGGTAATGCTTCTTGATTTAAGGAATTAGCAGATTTTAATGCTTCAAACAAAACTTCAAATACTGCCCTAAAATCAATACAGGGATGACTAACCATCAAGTAAACATAGGCAGTGCTTTCAGTATTTTCACGCAGTACTTTCAAGTCAAAATTTTGTTTTGAACTAGAAGTCGATCATTAAATTAAGCAGCTTAAGAAACAATTTTAAGCTTCAAAGTAGCAGATGTCTGATAATACGACAGATGAACGCTAAAGTAAAAGAAACAGCTTTGATAAAATCGATCACCTCCCCCCCTCATGTTGTAATACTAAAGTCATTTGGGATGGCCTTTACGACAGTCGGCTTGCGATCATAAAATACGGATACAATTATATGTAGCTTGCTTTGACCGATATTTCTATTGCCGTACTGCGTGTTTGCTACAATTTCAAAGTGTATTAACATTAGCTTAGTCGAAATATTGTGCTTCGTAACATCGTAAAGTAAATGTCATTGAAAGATCAGAAAAACTTTCCTTCAGCCATAGTGCCTCTCATGTGATTTGAAAAACAGTGCGGTTTATGGAATGACAAGGTAGCAGAATTATCCCAAATTCGATATATAGATAAATAAACGCACTGCAACGAATAACGCTAGCAGCCACAATAAAAGAGCGATATGGACCCGCTTACAAGTGTCAAAATGCCTGGAAATGCCGTGGAATGACTTGCAAAAAATGCCCACCTCCGCTGTTTCCCCAATGAAACTAGGAGCAAACAAAGCGGGACACTGGGTAATGAAATTCTACTTTTGAGGAGTTACGCGCTCAAAGATAAGGCTCGTGCAATGAAAGCATAAGATGAAAACGGCTATTCTTCAGTGGCGGATAAAAATAATATAAAATAATGAAAG